ATTATTTATTAATATATTTATTTTTTATTTTGTTATAAATGTCATAAGCAAAGGCATAACAACAAAACCCAGGAACAAAAACTTGGGGAGGGAGGCGGACTGACAACTCATGGGGCCCCCGGGCAATAGGGGATCATGGGGCCCCTGTGTCCTTGCCCAAACTCAAAAAAACCTATGAAAAAGGTACCAGGGGCATCTCATGGGGCCCACTACTGACCCCGGGTCCTCGGGCAGTGACCGAGTTTAGAAATGGTCAGTCTGCCCCTGGTGGGGACTTCCTTCTCCGTGGAAGGGCGCCAACTGAGTGACCAGTATGTCACGGGACTTAACGTGATGCAGGAGTCCCCTCCTTTTTCTTCCTCCTACCGATAATCTACCATCACAATCCAAATCACGCCCCTTCACCATCCCTCCCTTCTGCCATCACTTTATTACCCTACAGACTAGTCCGAAGGGACCATCCGCAGTCATGATGCCTGCTGTGTGTATAACACAGGCCATTGCTTTACCATGGGCTCGAGGGGAATACTAAGGGATTAAGATTCGCAGTCCCAGCAGATTTTTGTACAGTTTCAACTAGTAGAATTTATTTTAATCTATAATGCACTGTGTGGTCTTTGATCTATGGCAAGCAGGATTTAAAGGTCTGCCTGTATGAAAGCCATCCCCCCCTTACCACTCAAAGGGAGAGGGCATAATGGTCTACATGTCAGCGAATTGAAAGCTGTTGTAGGGAAACCATTGAGAAAGCTGACAGCATAGGAGAAAGTTTAGGGTCCATTAGGAAACTGTACTGTAATTCTAATTTGTTAGCTCCTTGAGCAATCAATGCCTTTGCTGCCATTTTGTTATTAAAGTGTTACTAAACCCATATATAGTCTGTATATGCATCCTCTGCATTGTGTAAAATGGCTGTTTTACCCTGTCTTCTCTGATCCTCCCCTTCTTCCAGTGCCCCTGCCTCTTATCTCCTGATCAGACATATCGTGTGGAGACACTGTGTATATGCTCAGTTTGGTGTGTATTGCTAGAGAGGTTTTTTTTTTTTTCTTGGGAGAGTACATGTGATCAGCACAGGGCCAATCAGTACTGTCCAGACAGAGGTCAAAGGTTTTGCATCCTCCTAAAGAAAAATGAAAACTCCTCTTACAAGCTTTAACCAGTGCTCTGCTGGACACTGATAGAAGTCACAAGACTGCTCTAACTGCTGATGAGAAAAAGGTATTTAGCTGTTTAAAATTTACAGCAGTTTTTTATTTACTAAAATGATTGCACTTCCCACCGCCCCCTCCTCCCTTTGATGGATAGTACAGGGAGAGGTTCCCCCGTACTATCTGTCAAATTTTAAAACATTGCGGCCATGCAGGACTCCGTCCACAATGCCTCATCCTTCATTCACGGATGAATGAACTGCAGATCCCGGCAGCCTTAGCAGCTGTCAGTTTGTAGATTTCAATGAACTACCACGGCGCTGTGGAGCACCATGGTAGTTCATTGAAGCTTCCTGCTCATACTTCCTGTACGGCAAGCAGATATACTGACAGGTCTGCAGGAGACCTGCATGGCATCAGTGATCTACTGATCACTGGTGCAATGCTTAACAGGCTCATTTGGACAAAAATAATAATTGTCCTACTACTGGCCAGTTTCCCTCTGCTATGTCCTGCAATAGGTAATTCTTGTAGGGTTTTGGGCCTAGTTATGGTATTAAAAAAAAATTTGTCACTTTTTTTTTTAACTGATCATAACATACACTGGTTTTATGATATGTTACAGCATCAGATATAATGGCCATTATATCATGAAGAATGGCAAGCTAAAACCTAAGGTGGGTACAGGCAAATAAAAATTTGATGGTTCAATCTGTGTGTGGCCCTCCCTATTCGACAGACATCAATCAATAGACCAACTTCTTTTGAACAGCCACATTAGAATTCATCATTCAGCAGCTACAGCCACTGATCAGTGTATTCTGACAGCAAAAAGTCCCCACTGTTGGAATACAATGTCGCAGTGGGGAGGATTCCTCCCTTCACCTCGCTTGAGTGGATTGAGGAAACTATATATATTTTTTTAATTTAGCCATCTGACTGAATGAATAAAAACTAACAATGTATACCCAGCTATAGAGAAGCTTTTGCATCAAACAACATCATATGATTATATAATAAGCAGCAAGATTTACAATGCATGTTTGAAAGTGCATTTCTATCTAAAACAAATCCAAAAAGAAGCAAGAGGCAATGAGTGTAATTTGTTGGCAATTTAAACTGTCATTTTTTCAGTAGCACGTCATACAGCAGTGTCGCTGTTAAAGTTGCCTGAATAAAAACATACACTTTTAAGGCATCCTTCAAGCATGTTATTAAAGGTTCTGTGTATTTTTAAGCTTTACCCCAATGCTGCCTGAAAAGACCTACTCCCCACTGTCCTGTTGTTTATGTTTTTTTTTTGAGTTGGTACATATTCTCCAGGGTAGTGTCTAACTTTTTTTTATAGTAGTAGTTCCTCTATTAGCAGGGCTTTTTTTCAGCGGGAAGGTGGGTGACCACAGTTATAGCACCTCCTGCACTGAATGTAATGGCAAGGGTGGGTTGGAGAATCCATTGTTTATGATGGAGATCTATTTTTGCAGGGAAGCCTTTTGTTGCTGTTGGGGGGATATATATTTCCAAGCAGGTCTATTGCTGCTGGTGGGGGGATCTATTGTTGCTGGGGGGTGGGCCTTATGTTGTTCACGGGTCAATTGTTACTGGGAGGGATCTACTGTTGAGGGAGGAGTTTATTGTTCCTGTCTGCTGGAGGATCTATTGATGCTGGTTGCAGGAGATATGTTGTTTCTGCAGGGGGTCTAGAGTGGCTGGGGTGGTATTTTGTTGCAGGTGATCCATTGTGGCTGGGGGGATCTATTGTCACTGGGAGGGTCTATTGTTGATGGCTGTAGGAGATCTGTTTTACTGCTTTTCTTGCCATCATTAACAATTTCCATAAAAATTACTTAGCACCATAAAATAATACTTGGTTTTGTATACTCTAAAAGGGTGGTACTAGAAGGTGGGTGAAGGATAGAACCAAATAATGGTACTCGTTGGTAGGTACAGGGCAAAGATAAGCGGTGACTTGGAAAAGACGAGTTCTAGCACCTATTCTCTGAGAAAGAAAACACTACCTATTATTTCTTAAAATGGCCAGAATTTATCAAAAATTGCTACCCATAGAATTTAGGGGAAATAGGTTTAGGTTTGAAACAACATTCACCAAACCCTTGAAAAATTTAACTTAGGCAGATTCAACCATTACCAGCTGAAAGCAGTAATCCTATGCAAGGTTGTGTATATAAAAAAATTAACCGAAATCAGACAAACAAGCATCGGAAAAGCCAAAAAGAAACACAAGTACAAACACACAACAGAAAAAGAGAGTAGGCACATTCAGTATGACAAATACCTTTAGCCTTTCTATGGGTATGTGATTCTGTAAGTGTATAATGTAATTTCTAGCTGGGAAAAACTACTGTTCCCTGATGTTTGCACAAGACACAGCCCATGCCCTCAATTTAAGGCTGATCCTGTCATAGTGACAGGTCATTCTCTTCAGAACAATCTCAGAGATATGTATGTGAATTTCAAAGGGGTAAAGATAAGAAATAAATTGAGTTTGAACTAGTCACTTTAGATAAGATTGACTTGCTTGTAAAATACATGTCTTTTTTCTCATCCACAGGATTACCACTTATTACGGTTCCCTGCTTTTTTGCCTTTCCTTACCAAATAAATAAATAAATAAATTGCTTCTAAATCATGAAACCATTCACGACCTTTTCTTTCCTGGCCACCCAGACTGCTTCCCTGGAAATAGGTCTGGTATATATTTTAAAGAGGAACAAACCTCTTGCTTTTTTAAAAATGAGAAGTGTTCCTTTAAAAATTAAAAAGTCAGAATATTGGTTTTTTTTTAACTCTTTTTGGGAATGAGTAATTAGGGGCACTAAGGTACCCTGATTGCATTCCACTGGGGGTTAGATATCTGAGAACCCCTTATTATAAAGGGAGGCCTCTAGATTCCCCTACCCCTGCAAAGGTCTACATCCTCTTGGGGACCAGATGTGGGGAAAAAAGCCTTAGAACTATGGAGCCAAGGTGCCTTTCAAAAAGGCTGCCTGTTCAGATAACCCCCCCCCCCCCAATGCATGCCTAGATAGGGGCCTAGTTTTATTTCATGGTTTCATAAATTTTAAAGGAACAATACATATTAAAATGTAAAAAAAACTAATTAAATGCCAACCAGGCCCATATCCGGGCATGCAGCCTTTTTTGTAATAGCTCAAAAAATTAAAAATGCAGAGGCAATCAAATACCACCGAAAGAAAGCTATATTCATGGGAAAAAGGACAAATTTAATTTGGGTGCAGCATTGCATGACTGTGCTATTGTCAGTTAAACTAATGCAGTGCCGTACCGTAAAAAATGGCCTGGTCAAGAAATGGGGTAAAGCCTCTGGAGGTCAGATGGTTAATAAAAATTCCTTTCCAAAACTGGAAACAATGTCCTACACCCTACAATTCTTCCCTGCAACACTACCACCACTAAATGACAGATTTTTCAATATTGCTGGAATGTAAACAATAAGACCAGGGATTCTGGGTGATGTAATTCACCAAATACTGTGACATCACTCAGGAGCTGTTGTCTTCAAACTGCAGCTGGGGATCTGTCATTTAGAGGGCAACATCAGCTATTGGCAAAATGCATAGCAGTTATTTCACACATACTCCCGGGATTTGCACAAATGCAGTGCTTTTCATCAACTTCAGTCCTGCCTGGCAAGTAGTTTCAGGGCTTTTGTCTCTCTTTCATAGTAGCCTCCCTGGCGGTATTCCCGAGTGTAGCTCGGGGTAAAGTTTCAGTGCCACAAGCGGTAACCCCCGAGCTACACTCGAGCTTACCATGCGGCGCTGCTCCGCGATCCCTCGATCGTTTACCTTGTCCTGTGCTCCCGCGATGTACCTCCTGCGGTATCCCCGGCAAATTAATCCAGCGGATGCCGGCATCTGTCATCTGGGTTCCATCCCCTGCGAGCGTCGGAACGTACGAGGGACGGAATGGCGGGAAATTTAAAAATGACAAAAAGTGACATTCACTAAAATCACATAGTAAAACATTACTGTATCAAACCATTTCACATACATTTTGTCCCGAGTGCTTTGTCCTGTGCCCTGCCTGCATTTTTACTGTTCTTTCTGCCTGGAAACTGAGAAACGTCCATGGCGTCCAAAAAGCGTCCCTTTATGTCAAAAGCGGTTTTAGACCAGCTAGAGAACAGCGATAGTAAATCAGAACCACTTGCAGAATTGAGTGATAATGATTTGTGGTGAAATTCGTCATCAGACACTGAAAACGATTTTGCGACTTTGCTCGTGATATGTGAACATGGCGCTATATTTCAAATTTCAGTGTTTTTGGTTTGATTATTTTATTGAATAAAATTTATTATTATTATATTATTATTTTTTATGATTATTTATTAAATTATAATTTATGATTTCATGTTTCAAGTTTTATCATACCCGGGATATTTACTAGACTCTTGTTCGGACAGATTTTTCAGTGAGTTAAAAAATACAGGCCTACAATAAAAAAAAAAATACATATTTCCATGCAAAAAAAGTACCGCTTTGAGCACAGAAATATGGACATAATCAGACCGCTAGGGAGGTTAAAGTATACTTTAAAACATCCCACAAGTTTACCCTTGCAGGGAGGGGTTTTCACCCTGACATAACAGACATTTTCCAGCCTCCTGGATATCCAAACGTCATAGTCTCTCTGCCTATCTTGGCACAGACTCACCAAGTTGACTCACTTTGTGACAAATAAAATGCCCACCTGGGCTGTACTGGCTCCTTCCTAATGACACAGTCTATGAAACCTTCTCAGGTGATGCCTGTCCGATGGCCTCTCCCTTAGGCAGGCCATACATTATACAATTTTCTTGAGATTTTTGGTTTAGATTGACCAAAAAAAACCATATAATAGGAGGTCACACCTAACAATACTTTCAATTGTATCCAACTCAGGCTCTTGCACTACATAGTTGAAGGTAAATCTAAAGGAAATTGTGCTTCAGGGCTCTTGGAAGAGTACATTCTGGCCTTAGGCTGGCCATAAACTATACAATTTTCTGTCCAGTTTCTGCCCAGACTGTGCCTTGCCTAAAAAGGTTGTGCACACCTGCACAATCAGACTGCTGGTCTCCAGCAAGATGTTGACTCCAAGATAGAGGTTTCACCCCTCCTAAGGCTGGCCATACATTATATAATAATTTTCTTGAGATTTGTGCTTTAGATTGACCAAAAACCACATAATAGGAGGCCAAACCCAAACAACACTTTCAGTTGTAGCCAATTAGGCAGGCCCTTGCACTACGCAGTTGAAGTTAAATCTAAAGGAAATTGGGCAGAAATCAGATAGAAGATTGTATAGTGTATGGCCAGCCTTAGATTCCTCAAAGCCTCCAGAACCCAATCCTGGAATTGCCGATCCTGGAGAAAACAGAAAAAAACAGTTTTCTCCACTCAGAATAGGGCTACTATAATAGTGAGATGTTACCAGCAGAGGCAACCCCAGGGGGGTTTGCGTTTTCTATTACAAGTAGTGCCTGTATGTTGACAGATTACCTTCATCATGAGGTAGAAGAACCTGGTCTTCGATAATATGTAACTAATATGACTTCCATATCATATAATTTCTCCTGTAAATAAAGACGGAGGGGAGGTTACGCCTAAATGCTATGAGAATCCCTTGTACCCAATCTTTTAAACTTGTAAACTAGGACAATGTTTACTGAGATACTTTGGAAAACCTGGTCCCCTGGAGACATGCAATGTCTGTTGTATGCGATTTAAAAGCGGGTGCACTTGCAGTACCCAGTACATTTACCTTTAGTAAATCAATCCCATAGTGTTTGTTATTATATGAAGACACTTTGCAATTCTGCTCTCACTATTCAGTTGTTGAGGATCTTACTTTACTATATGTTTATCTAACACTGTTGGAGTCACTGCAGTATTTGAACTATTTTCTTTGCTTCTTTCATTTTATCCTTTTTTGCACATTTGTGTATAGTGGTGGTTTATATGAATTTGTATTAGTTATTTATGATATTGGTTTACTTTATTTATTTATTGTACTATACTTTGTTTCATGAATTTATTATTGGGTTTCTATTTTCTCACTTTAGCGCTGCACTTCATATATTCATTCAATTTGCAATAAGCAGAGTTTGACCACTTGCCCTTCTGAGCATTTACCCACCTTCCTGACCAGGCCATTTTTTCTGTTACGGTGCTGTGTTACTTTAACTGACAATTGCGCGGTCATGCAATGCTGCACCCAAATTAAATTTACGTCCTTTTTTCCCATGAATTGAGCTTTCTTTCAGTGGTATTTGATAGCCTGTTTGGTTTTTATTTTTTGCGCTATAAAAAAAAAAGAGAGACAATTTTGAGAAAAATATTTTTGACTTTTTGCTATTAAACATGTACAGTAAAAAAATCAAATTGCACCATAAATTTAGGTCAAAATATATTCTGCTACATGTCTTTGCTAAAAAAATCCCAATATGTGTAAACTCTATGACAGCATGAACCCCCTGTCCTGCACTGACCTGGCCACTTCTGTCTACAACAACTCGCTTTCATCCGCTCTAGACTCACTTACTCCCCTAACAACACAAAGCATCAGGCCCCAACCTCTACAACCTTGGCACACCGACCACACTCGGAATCTCAAACGACACAGTCGCGCGCTGGAGCGATTATGGCGTAAAACCAAATCCCACCAAGCGTTCACCCATTATAAATCTGCCTTCCTAACATACACTTCCTCCCTTCATGCTGCCAAACAAGCCTACTTTGTCACTCTCATTAATACCTTCTCTTCGAGTCCTCATTGGCTCCTCTCTACCTTTAACTCTCTACTTTCTCCGCCCCCACCGCCACCCGGCGCCTCACTCAATGCCCACAAGGTTGCAAACCACTTCCAAAACAAGATTGATGCAATTCGTAGGGACATCGCCACTACACAGACACCCACCCCACTTAGCATTCCTCATACCATACCTCCCTCAACACTTTCCTCCTTTGACCTCGCTACCACCGAAGATGTCCTCAAGGTCTTCTCAGAAGCCCGCCTCGCCACCTGCCCCCTAGACCCTGTCCCCTCACAACTCCTTCGGTCACCCTCCTCTTCCATCCTATGCTCCCTCACTCACATGTTCAAACTTTCCCTCTCTACAGGCACCTTCCCCTCCCCTCTAAAGCACGCGCACATCATCACTCCCATACTTAAAAAAACCCTCCCTAGACCCCACCAACCTTAACAACCTAAGACCCATCTACCTGCTGCCATTTACCTCTACACTCCTAGAACGCTTAGTCTACAATCGTCTGAGCTCCCACCTCACAACAACCTTCTTGACCCTTTACAGTCTGGCTTTCGCCCTCTACACTCCACTGAAACTGCCCTACTAAAACTCTCTAGCGACCTACTAACTGCAAAACCAACGGCCACTATTCAATACTTCTACTACTCGACCTCTCCACGGCTTTTGACACGGTTGACCACCCCCTCCTCTTCAAACAACTCCACTCTCTTGGCCTCAGAGACTCCTCTCTCTCCTGGTTCTCCTCCTATCTATCGCAGCGCTCCTTCAGTGTTACCTATAACTCTGCCACCTCCTCTTCACTCCTTCTCTCTGTAGGGGTCCCTCAAGGTTCTGTCCTTGGACCCCTTCTCTTCTCCATCTACACCTCCTCCCTTGGTCACTTGATAAACTCCCACTTCTTCAATTACCATCTCTATGCTGAGGACACGCAAATCTTTCAGTCTACCCCTCACCTCACCCCTTCAGTCTCCACCCGCATCTCTAGCCTACTAAGTGACCTATCGGCATGGATGTCACTCCACTTCCTCAAACTCAACCTTTCCAAAACTGAGCTCCTAGTATTCCCCCCTGCCCGTGCCCCCTCCCCTGACTTCACCATACATATCAATAACACAATCATTAGTCCATCCCCTCATGCCAGGGTACTAGGTGTAATCCTAGACTCCCATCTGTCCTTCCAGCCCCAGATCCAATCTCTGACAAAATCATGTAGTCTTCACCTCCGCAACATCTCCAAGATACGACCATTCCTTACCCCGAAACCACTAAGCAACTTATTCACTCCCTTGTCATATCACGCCTCGACTATTGTACTCCCTCCTCATTGGCCTACCTCATCGCAGGCTATCCCCCCTTCAGTCTATCATGAACGCTGCTGCCAGACTCATCCACTTCACTAACCGCTCTTTATCTGCCACCCCTCTCTGCCAATCCCTCCACTGGCTCCCAGTTGCCCAATGGATAAAATTCAAAAGCCATCCACAACACTGCTCCAATTTACATATCCGATCTTATCTCTAAATATCACCCAAACCGTACACTCTGCTCCTCGCAAGACCTCCTACTCTCTAGCTCCCTTATCTCCTCCTCCCATGCTCGTCTCCAAGACTTCTCCAGGGCGTCACCCATCCTCTGGAACTCCCTACCCTAAACTATCACCTACTCTACTTACCTTTAGGCGATCATTGAAAAAACTATCTCTTCAGGGAAGCCTATCCCGCCCTCTGATAATACTGGAATCCTCTACTCTTCCAACCACTCCATCCCCCACAGTTTTACCTGTTGTACCACTCACCCCTCCCTCCTAGATTGTAAGCTCAATTCCCTCTTGTATTGAACTGTATTGTTACTGTATTGTCTCCCACTATAATGTAAAGCGCTGAGCAAACCGTTGGCGCTATATAAATCCTGTATAATAATAATAATAAATTCATTGGTTTACATGAAAGTTATAGCGTCCACAAATGGCAATATATTACTGGAATTTTTTTTTTTTTTTTTTTTAGTAGTAATGGAGGAGATCAGCGACTTATAGCAAGACTATGGGACTGAGGTGGGCATTCTGACAATGGGGGAAACTGACTTGGTGTCACTGACATCCCCAGTGACATCAATACAGTGATTAGTGCTAAAAATAAAGCACTGACACTGTACTAATGATGCTTGGCAGGAAGGGGAGCGAACAAAGGGTTAGCTGTGTGCAGGGAGTGTTTTACAAGGGGGTGGTGTCTGTGTGTTTGAGTTAGTGTTTGGGTCAAGGTCAAAGGTCAGGATAACTATTTTTATGTTTTTTTTTTTACATTTTTAAATTAGTATCAGTGTCAGTGTATTGTAGGCAGGATAAAAAAAAACAAAATGCACACTATTGTTTCTGAATGGTACTATGGATACAAACAACGACTAACATG